AAAAAAAAAAAGGAATTCCTCTCAGTAGCTACAGTTCTCTTTCTTCTTGGGGTCTAGGGATTGGATTTTGGTAGTTGAGAATTATTCCCAATCATTACTGTAAAGATTCCAAAATCGTGACCCAAAATTTGTAGTACTGTAGCTGGATGAAGAAAATGTATTCAGCTTTTCTTAATACCAGTCAGCTTTTTTCTGCATAGAGTCTTGTGTGGGATTTCCTGATTGGTCAGTAGATTAAAACTAGCATCATCAAGCCTGTGTCCTATATAACTGGAGCCATCAAAGTAAGCCCTTGGGAGAGATTGTACTTTGATTGTTTACAAAATGTTCCTGTTGGCAGATCCGCGAGAGTAATAAATAGCTGTTACACATCTGTGTAGGAGTATGTATATTGCTACTTACCTATGCAAGTTCCCAAATGAAAAATGTCACACGCTTCCAGAGCCAACTTCTCACTGCTTGTGCCAATGGCAGAGGATGCTTGAAATCAGCTGTCAGTCTTTTCCACCCTCACACTTTTTACCTACTAAGCTTGTCTTTACCTAACTCTAGCCAGTTATAAGTGTTCGATGAGGAGCTACTTCCCTTGATTTTTTCTTTCTTTAAATTCTTTCTGTGGTCAGGCTGCTCATGAATTGTACAATAGGATGAAAAGGAGGAAAGAGAAGGCAAGTGGACTCTGTTCCTTGAGATTGCACAGCAGGTGTTGCCCAGGTAAATATGTAGTAATTCATATAGTGATAGAGCTGAGAAAACAGACTCTGAACTTATAGTTTGTTATCCCTAGGTACTTATAGTCATTCTGGTACTTACAGACCGGAGCTCCTATTTATAAGTATTGATAGAATCTCGAGTATTACTATTACAAAAGACAAAAGTAGCCTGGACATGGTAGCTTATGCCTGTAATCCCAGCAGTTTGGGAGGCTGAGGCTGGTGGATCACCTGAGGTCAGGCGGGTGAGATCAGCCTGGCCAACATGGTGACACTTAGTCTCTACTAAAAATACAAAAATTAGCTGGGTGTGGTGACAGGTGTCTGTAATCCCAGCTACTCAGGAGGCTGGGGCAGGAGAAACGCTTGAACCCATGAGGCGGAGGTTGCGGTGAGCTGAGATCACACCACTGTACTCCAGCCTGCGTGATAGAGTGAGACTCTGTCTCAGAAAAAAATAAATAAATAAAAGTGGTGTTTTGTTTGGTTTCTTCTTCTTCTTTATGTAGATGTTTTATGTTGAGTAAGCTTTACGGTTTACAAGCTTTGCTTTTGTATTCTATCTCATGCTGCTGCCTTCCCATAGCCAATAGCATGTCCTGGTGTTGCAGAGCCCGAAAATCAAAGTTGTATTGACTTAAAGGGAGAGGGATGTCTTGCTGGCATATATTCATGCTGTTGTAAAAGAAATGAGCACTAAGTTTTAATGGTATTTACAGGGAACATCATCTCAATATTAAGTAAATATTTTGGTGGAGCTGTGAAGCACTTGCCCCTGCCACTTTTGAATCTGTGTTATTTTAGTGCTTAGGAGAACTCTATAAGCATCAGTTGAATGACCACTCAAGGACATTTTAGTGTTCTTGTGTATGAAATGTAATGTGATACTTGCAAAAAGTATTAAATTACTTCCTCATGACAGTCAGCCAGCCCTCTTGCCAGACTGTGGTTTCTGATTCTAGCACATGAGGCAGATCCCTCAGACACCTTTGTTTCCAGCATTGGAGCCAGTGTCTTCTCTTGGTGACAGGCTGTAGAACTGGTTTGGAATCTAAAGGGAGGAACTGATTCAGTGCCTTGTGGCCATGATGGCAAACCTGCTTGCAAATGCTTAGTCTAATTCTCAACCCGAAAGATGTCCTTTTATGTCTTCTGTTGCCATATTTACTTTTATTTCTTCAGTAAAATTCTTGACAAGGACTTGCATAGCACTACTGAAGTACCTAATAAGTAAATTTATTTTATGGAAACTTCTAAAATTCTTATATTGCTTTATCTCATAAAAAATACACTTTGCTTCACTGTCGTGACAGGAAATCATTAAATAAAACTGTTTGGTAGAAATGAAGCATTAGGTATCAAGTAAAATGAACTCAGTCAGCACTCTAACTGGTGGCTTTTGACTGAATCTGTGTTTTTATGGGCCCATAAATTACTCATATGTACTAAGTACAGCTTATTATTTGAATACTGTTTCTGAATTTATATTCAATAATAACCAGGTTAGAAGTAATTTTTTCTTTTTCTCCTTTTTCTTTTTATTCACCTGGGTGCAGGTGGGCTAAGGCTGAAAAGGGCATTAGCCAAAGTAATTTTTTAACCATCAATAAAAAATGAATTTGCTAAGGAAATTACAGTGCCATCATAAAAGTTTCATTGCCTCAGTGGAAACTTGAGGTAATTCAGATGGTTGAAGAAAAGTTAACGGCCTTATGGATCATCTAAATATAATTTCTTCCTCTCCTAGATGATTTCCATCTCCTCTTTTAATTCCTTCTCCCACTGTTTTCCAGAGTCCTGAGTGACATCTCTGCACATAGAAGGGACGTCAGTCCTCTCTTTTGCACTTGGGTCTATGGCTGGGCCGTCATCGTCATGAGTACCCCATGCTCACTTTTCTGTTACTACTGCTGTGGAATATTTTTCAGTTGCCTTCCATTTACACACCTACCTCCTACTGTTTGTGGGAATTCCCCAGGGGTGGTTTGCTTATACTCCTCTTCTTGTAAATCTCCCCCCCCTTTTTTTTTTTTTTTTGCATCCTGTTTCTTCATTAGCAGCCTCCTCCACTAGAGTGTAGGCCTCATGACATGTATTAAGCCGTCCTTTGTATGAGATGCTCTTGATGGACTGCACAGCCAACCTTGTGGTCTCTAGGCAGAAATACTTTCTATGTAATGGTCTTGATGAGTGTTAGACGTATTGGGTAGATTTTGACCTGGTGGAAAAATACATTTGGACTGAAAGTTAAAAGTGCTCACTCTACCACTAATTTTTTTGTTTGTTTGTTTGTTTTTTGAGATGGAGTCTCACTGTGTCACCCAGGCTAGAGTGCAGTGGTGCAGTCTTGGCTCACTGCAGCCCCCACCTCCCAGGTTCAAGCAATTGCCCTGCCTCAGCCTCCTCAATAGCTGGGATTACAGGTGCCAACCAAGACACCCGGCTAATTTTTTGTATTTTTAGTAGAGATGGGTTTTTACCATGTTGGCCTAGGCTGGTCTTGAGCTCCTAGCCTCAAGTGATCACCCACCTCAGCCTCCCAAGTAGCTGGGACTATAGGCACATGCCAACATGCCTGGCTGATTTTGGTGTGTTTTGTAGAGCCACTCTACTACTAATTAATGTGTGTTTGGGAGTAAGTTTTTTGGTTGTTCTCATCTGGCATCTGAAAAATGGGGAAGAATATTACTTGTCTTATTTTGAAGGGACTTTCGAGGATCCACTTACATGATAGATATGGAAGCACCTTAAAGTTTAAAAGTTCATATACAAAGTGAGTGGCATTATGTGCAGCTGTCACCCACTACTCATTCTCGGCCACTTCTCCCTGCTCTATAGTTGTCAAAACACTTACTGCCACCTGAAATTGTCGTATTTCTTTATTAATTATCAGCCTTCTCCACTAGAATGTAAGCTTCATGGGGCAAGCATCTTGTCCTTCTTGTTCACCATTGTAATCTCATACCTTGAAGAGTATCTAGCTATGTGTATCGAAAGAATGAATGAGATTTAGTGTTTTGTCAAGTCTTAGATGCTGATGCATTTCTTAAAAACAAATACGTTTGGTTTGGGGGATTCCTACTTTTGATATAATGAGTAAACACATGCTTTTTTTCCTAGAGACATTGACCCAGACGTTCTTAATTTGCTAATGATCAGATTTAAGCTTGTTGAGCTTGGCTTTAATGATAGGATTTAAGCCACAATGAAGCCTGCAGGAGTGTTAACTGATGGGAGAGGACTACATGGGAGGAAGGGCTTCCTGGCACTGAGCTGTGAGGTCATAGCACCTCACTCTGGTGAAGGAATTTATTTGAGGGATACTTGAGCTCTGTGTCATATAGTTATAGTACCTTTCTGCTTTCCTATGTACAATACTGAAGGAAAGGGGACATGATTGCTAGTTCTGAGCAAATTTGGGGGTATCTGTGAATATTTCTAATGGGCTACCCTAGATTTAACCTTGAAATGTGACACTTGAGAAACACCTATGACAGAAGCACCCTCACCAGCCATATTCATCAGCAACAGCCAGGGTCCTTGAAGCGTTCTCAATCTTCAGTGTATGTTTTCAGATTTGGATGGGCAGAAGGTCTTTCTTCTACAACTTGCTTCATGAATCTTACCTCAGTTCATCTGCTTGAAGCTGTATTTTTGAACCTCATTGTAATGTACAGGGTATAAAGAAATAGTTCATGTGAGTGATATGTCCAGTGGCATTCCCAGTTAAATACATGCTTCAGCAGTGGTATCAAAACAGAGTCCATTCTTCTGTCACCGGATCTCACAAAACAAAACAACAATGAAACCTAGAGAATTTGCTTTTATTTAGTCTGGAGATTGCTTTTTTAAAAACATAATTTTGGGGCTAAAAAAACCCCATAATTTTGTACATATAGAAGCTTATGTGCATTGTATCTTATTTTAATTTAATTTGACAAATCATTGCTATGATAATGTCCAGTAAATCATTCCTACTTTTGTCTGGTAAATCACTATAGTCATAATTCATATACATAGATGTACTTTATTCTTTGCATGCTTGTTTCTTCGGCAGGTCACCATTATTGCAGATGATAACTGCAGATTTTTATGCTGGTCAAGAGAAAGATTAACATACTTTCTGGAATCAGAACCTTTCTTGTATGAAATCTTTAGGTATCTTATTGGAAAAGACATTACAAATAAGCTCTACTCATTGAATGATCCCACCTTAAATGATAAGGTAAGTGTTTTCTGAGTTTATTTTGTTAAATAAATATGTATATGAGGTATATTTCACTTTATGAAATATGTTTTCCTGAGATTTTAGTAACTAGCCATATGTTAAATGCACTGAGGACACTGGTAATCTTGAAAGGAGAAAGTATTTTGTAATGATAACGTTTGCTGTTACTTAGGAAGGAGTCTATAACTCTGAGGGACTAGTGTTTGTGGTGATAAGGCACCCTCTTCTTCAAGAGCCTTTTAAGGAAGATGGTAAAGGAATGAGAGGGAGTTGGGGATGGAGAAGGTTAGGGAGGACAGGGCAGCTGGAGGTTTGCAGACAGAGAAAGGCTGACAGGCCCCACTGATCAGGAAGCTGGCCTTCAAAATCTGGTGTCTTCCAGTCTTGCTTATCTTCCTGGGCATTCCAGAAGGTGAAAGGAGAGATGTGGAATTTCAGAGCTGCATAGATCTTCAACAATTTTCAATTTGATCTTAATTTCCCCGTATCTTTTTAGAAAGAAATTAAAGTGATTTCAAGAGAGAATTTTTAAAAACATCATTTCTGTGATAAGTACTGTTGTTACCCAGTGACAATGCATATATGTGTCCTTTCAAAATCGTTTTGTCTGGGCTGTTTACCAAATTAAGCTGGTGCTTATTATTTCAGTTAATTATTTAGCTTATTATAAATAGATGAGTATATTTGATTTTTTATAATACATTTATAGTAATAGGTAATATAAAAATCATAGCTTATGTGTATTGGCCACCTAATATGTATCAGGTACTTTTTTTTTTATGCACTAACATATTTCTAGGAAAACTACATGTTGCTTAAATGGAATATATGATTCAACTCCCATAAATCTCAGAAAGCTTAAAACTTTGCTTTGTAGAAAGCCAAAAAGCTGGAACATCAGCTCAGCCTCTGCACACAGATCTCCATGCTGGAAATGAGGAACAGTATAGCCAGCTCCAGTGACAGTGACGACGGCTTGCACCAGTTTCTTCGGGGTACCTCCAGCATGTCCTCTCTTCGTAAGTTACCCTAAAACTGATGCTACTCCAGAATTCCGATGGATATGTCTGGACATAGACAAATGACAACTTTGATTAGAAAAATAACTTTTCAGGTAGCTATTTGGCAACCCAAAAGGTAACAATAAAAACAAATTTTGTTTAGCATTTCTCCCATATTGCATGTGAGCTAAAAGCCAACTTTAGAACTCTTATTTCTGTTTCAGAAATTGTTCACTGGTTTTGCCATGTACTTAAATAGAGGCTCACGATGTCTAAAAGAGTCGACATGGTTTGGTGGATATTGGGCTTTGTTGCTTTCACAACTTCAGTTGGAGTGAAAGCCTAGACCCAGAAATGTGCTTAAAAATGGCTGACAAATAAATGCGGGATGTTCTACTGCCTGGTTATCTCAGTATGAGTGCCATGAGTTAAAAAGTGATTGGGAAATGGAATAGTCCCAAAGTTGAAGTAGATCACTCAACACCCCTGTGAGTTACCTCATTCACACACCTGCCAAGAGACACATTTTCCAGGATTCTTCCATAGTTTAGATTGTTTCAAAAGATTTTAAGTAATACAAATAACACAGATGTTGAAAATTAGTAAGTAAAATGAGAAAAACTAAATTAAGAATTAAATACTTAAGAATTATTCTAAGAATGATGATATAAAACTGAAGAAATTCATATGAAATAGCAAAAAGGTAGACATTCTTCCATTGCGTGAACTAAAAACTATTCGTATTTCCATTTGTATTTTAAGCCAAATTAACTTTTAAAAAATGCAGACTCATTCAGCAATCCTTGATGTTTGTGTAAATGATCTTGTAACTTTGTATGCCTTAGGTAAGTTAGATTAGGGATTTTAAGTTTTGCATAGTCAGGAGAGGCTAGAATTTACAAGGCCATATAATTGGGGTGTAAGAAAGAAAAAACTTTACCTCTTCCGATTTAGGGTTGTTTTCCGGCTGGACCTGAGAACTAGATTGACATAAGACAGATTAACAAGAGAAAAGCATGCAAATTTAATACAAGTTGTATGAGTTTGTGTTAAAAGCTCATTCAGGTTTTACATAGCACAGAAGCCTTCATAAGGAAATCAGACCCAAAGAAGCAATTAAGCAGTTTATAGCAAATTGGACAAAGAAATTACAAAGAATAGTAAGTTGTGAAAAAGCAACTAAATCATGTTGGAAGACTTAAAGACAAGAGTTATTTTAATAAGGCTTGTATAGAATTCTGTCTGCCTCAACATCTTGCCCTTGATGATAAGAACATTGTTTTTCTTCTAACATTTGGGCAGGCACCTTTCATACAAGAATTTTATCTCCTGGTTTTTGTTTGTTTGTTTTTAAATTTGCCAGCGGGGGTGGGGGTTGGTTTTGTTTTTGTTGTTGTTGTTTTTTGAGACAGGGTTTCACTTTGTCACCCAGGCTGAAATGCATTGGCACAATTATAGATCACTGCAGCCTTGAACTGCTGGGCTCAAGTGATCCTACTGCCTCAGCCTATTGATTAGCTGGGACTACAAGCCTGCGCCACAATGCCTGGCAATTTTTTTATTTTTATAGAGACAAGGTTCTCCCTATATTGCCCAAGTTGGTGTCAAACTGTTGGCCTCAAGTGATCATCCTGCTTTGGCCTCCCAAAGTGCTGGGATTACAGGCAGAAGCCACTGCGCCTGGCCTCATCACTTGTTTTTAAGAAATAAAATGAAGGTTAGAGTTGTTGCACTTGCTGTTTTTTTCGTTGTGTTTAATTCAAAATAGACAACATGACAGAATGACCTATTTTTAATTCTTTCAGGTATAGGCTTCCAAAGCAATGTTTGACACAGAAATGCGTTATGGACCTAAAGGGGATTTTAAGGGCAACACAGATGATAAACTGGAGATGGTTATATTTTGTTACATAGTAGCTTCTTTTTTTTTTTTTTGAGACAGGGTCTTACTCTGTCACCCAGGCTGGAGTACAGTGATATGATCTCAGCTCACTGCAACCTCCACCTCCCAGGCTCAGATGATCCTCCCCCCTCAGACTCCCAAGTAGCTGGGACTAGAGGCACATACCACACACCTGGCTAGTTTTTTTTTTTGTTTTTTTTTTTTTTTAAACTCCTGGATTCAAGTGATCCACCCACCTCAGCCTCCCAATGCACTGGGATTTCAGGCATGAGGCACTGCACCTGGCCTGGATAGTACCTTTTTGAAGGTATTAACTGAAGCTCACATGAAGGTAGATGCTGCACTTCCCCACTCGTGGGACTCAGCCAAAGGAGCAGCTGCCATCTGGGTCATTCCCATTGTCACTGCAGAGGGAAGACAGTGGTGGCAGATTCACAAGATAGCTGTTAAGGCTCCTGCTCCAGAGGAACAAGTACCACTTCCATGCATGTTCCCTGTGCCACACAATCACTTGCCAGAACCAGCATCAATGGATAGATCATTTAACCCTCCTGCAGGGGCTGCGCAGGTAGGGGCTAGTGAGAAACAAAGCAAGTGGACGGCTGGACTATAACACAGCCTACTACGGTGGGTGTTACGTCATTTTACAGACGAGAAATTGGGAATATGAGATGCTTATTCACTTGCTCCTTTTCCATGTGGGCTGCTTCTGTGATACAAGGATCCTGTCTGATTCCAGAGCTCATGCTTGGCCAGGCACAGTGCCTCACACCTGTAATTTCAGCACTTTGAGAGGTTGAGGCTGGAGGATCACTTGAGCCCAGGAGTTCAAGACCAGCCTGGGCAACATAATGAGACCCCATCTCTACAAAAAATTAAAAACTTATCCAGGCGTGGTGATACATGCCTGTGGTCCCATCTACTTGGGAGGCTGAGGTGAGAGGATTGCTTGAGCTGAGGAAGTCAAGGTTGCGGTGAGCCATGATTGAGCCACTGCACTGAAGCCTGGGTGACAGAGTGAGAACTGCATCAAAAAAAAAAAAGAAAAACAAAAGCTCATACTTGTAGACCAGATGACCTCTGTGTTTTTTTTTAATGCAAGTAACAGTTGACTAGAGTTTTTCAATATACGGGTCACCGTCACATCTGTTCTTGCGCTAGGCACAGGAGCTGTTATTTGTCTCTTTGCAGATGAGTCTACCTAGAATTGGTGACTTGCCCCAAGCCACTTTTTTTCAACTCTCACCTACTTTTCTGGGGAAATCTGCCATCTCCTGATTTCTTCCTTGTGATCAAGTAGTGCTGCAGATAGGTTTTCATAAATTGGTTAATGTAATCCATTTCAACAAGAATGTTTGCCTTATTCTTAGCACTGGAGTACTAGGGTTCTACTTAGGAACATGTAAAATTATCCAATGATAATCTCCAGTGTCATTTAGCCTTTGGTTAGCGTACTTACAGAACTACATATACCTTATGTATTTTCTTAAATCTTTTTATGTTATTCCACCTATTCATTTCCCCAAATACCTATTTAAACATTAACATGCATATGAATATTTATCATAATTATTTTTCGAATCACAATCTGAACAGCATGTACACATTGCATTCAGTCAATATAACTCTGGGCTCCCTTTCCATCTCTCTCTATCTCTGTGTGTGTGTTTCTGTATATGTTTTTGTTTTGGTTTATTGGTTTGTCCCGTAGAACAACAGATTCTTAAATGTGGATGGGATCCTGATGTAGCAGGCCTCGGGTGGGGTCTGGGAGTACACAAGTTTAACCAGTCCCAGGTGATAACAATGTGGCTGGTCTGTGAACTACACTTTGAGTTGAGTAGGGAGGCTGTATAATTTCCCACCTTCTGGAATTTTGCTGTGTTCATCCCCATGGTGGTGATTATGGTGTTCTTGTCTTTCTCATCTGCTGGTAGTTGGGTCTAGAAGCTTGTTTAAATTCTGATAAGGGCCCTACTTTTAAAGATCTCAATCAGTAATACCACAAATATACTTCATAACTTTACACAGCAAATGTTCAGTGAAACAGGAATCCAGATCAGAAAAAGGTGGAGGGAACTAAGTGACCTGTTTCAGTGAAATTGCTGCTGCTCGCATTTCTCATGTTGTGCTCTGCTTTTATACATGCCACACAATGCTAAATCCATAGCAAGGTCTCTACTGCTTTCCACGCAGATTCCGTATTCCCATTCCAAACTGTCGTTTAAAGGGAAGAAAGTGACGTCATGAGATAGCCCAAGAAAAAGTCATTATCTCTGTTTATTCAGTAGTTCATAATTCAGTTCATTTAACTCTTTCACTTTCCCATTGCTTCATTTACTGCGTTTCATGTTCGCAAACATGGAACATGGTGAGATAGGAAGAGAGGAATGGACAAGATGTGTGAGCTGTGTCAGAACGCTTCAGTGTCAGTGTATGTAGGAAAGCTTTCTTCTCCCTGCCCCTGGACCAAGGTGTTGCTCGTCAGGGTACCTTGTTGTCATCTTCTGGTCATCTTCTCTCCTTCTTAGCTCCCTACATGTATAAAACACACACGTTCACATAGATGGATTGTATTGGCAGTTCCATCACTAGAAAGTGGTGCCCAGCTCAGCCATTGCTATGGTAACAGGAAGACATATGCTTCCTTGAATGTTACAGAACTCTATTTTAGTTAATTGGGGTTAAATAACTTATTTGGATTTTTTTTTAATCACAAAATAATATTGGCAATCCAATCAGTTGGAATTCATCGTTGAAAAAGCTTGTTAGTTTAAACCACGTCTTTTTTTTTTATGAAATAATATTTATGTTGTTTTTAAAGATGCTGTGAGATCTTTAGAGAGATGTTTCTTACAGTGAAGATCTTTGTAAGTATTTTGTTTGTTATTAGTGTCAAGACAGGGCCAGGCACACTGGCTTATGCCTATAGTCCCAGCACTTTGGGAGGCCAAGGCAGGAGGATCTCTTGACCCCAGGAGTTGAAGATGAGCCTGGGCAACATAGCGAGACTCCATCTCTGCGAAAAAGGTTTTTTAATTATCTGGAGGCAGTGGCATGTGCCTGTGGTTCCAGCTACTTGGGAGGCTGAGGTAAGAGGACCACTTTAACCTGGGAGATCTAGGCTGTAGTGAGCTATGGTCTTGCCACTCTACTCCAGCCTGGGTGAAAGAGTGAGACCTTGTCTCAAAGAAATTTAAAAAAAAAAAAAAAAGATCCTGCTGTGGACAATCTACTAATGTCATATGACCTAGTTATACAAATAGTTAGCTTGCAGTCTGCAATGACTAGCAATATGTCTGCTTATGAGTTTCTCTCTGTTCTCTTCTGTATTTATTTACCTGGAAAGATGTAAAAAACCATTACAGCATTCTTAGTTTTGAGGCTGGTTTCATGAAATAATCTGTTCAGCTCAATTTGTGTTTCATTCCCGTCATGAGCAACCGTAGACTTATAAACAATAAACTTTACATGAATTGTACAGAGAGGTAGAAAGA